ATAAAATAAAGTAAAAAAAAGCTCTACTTTGTTCAATATTACACTTTTTACTTTGTAATTCTGACTACCAAGAATATGCCACCAGCAGCATTAAAAGAAATAGCTCTTAACTAATGTTGCATAATAATATTCTCAAGACATTAGTAATTTTGTAGGTATGGACAAGTCAAAAAGGTTGTTTGATATTTATCATACTTTATATATTACTGTTACATATAGTATTGTACACTCTGATTTATATTACATATTGCATACTCAGAATCTTTGACTACGGTGGCAGATTGCTATTCAAAATGGATACCAGCCACATATGTCACGTGAATACAATACTTTAACAGTTCCCTAAAAATAGGAATTTGTTAAAGCAAGACAAGCCATTTAGCTGGTTTAGTCACATTACATCACATTTGATTAGTGACACATGATTTATATGATTGGTAAATTAAAATCTGACCAACAATAGCTGCAAAATCAAAGGTAATTTTTTTAAAAAAAGTATTCTAACTATATATATAGCATGCTAAATTCGATATTATGATCATGTGAAGGGAGCAGAAGTTGAACAATAATAATTATATAATGAAGAGATGATACAGATTACTCAAAGTGATTCTTCACAACTACTTATTAGTAACTTCTTGTTTCAATTTAACAATGTAAAATTTAATTATCAATTTATTGCTAAAATGAGCTCTGAATGTAGTCTCTGTAGTAATTATTACTTAAAATTTTATTATTTGCTTAAAAATTTCACATAAATATAGGAATTTCATTGTATATTAAATATTCTTAAAAGCATGTACAAGCATAAATAAGAGGGAGAACTAAAATTATTGTTTTTTTATATTATAATAAAATATTTCTTACTAAAGAATAGGTATCAAAGCCTCTTCTAAATTTTTAATAAATCTCATCACTTCTTCTATATTATTCTGATTCGTCAAATGATAATATCGATCTCTTGCCCTTTCAAATAATTTGTTCATTATTAAATGATTTTTTTCTACAGCTATTTCCATTTCTGATTGAGGTTAGAGTATTTCCACCAAATTGCGAGACTGATATATCTCCAAGCCACTTTTCTCAAAAGTTTCTTGGAAACTTCTCCACGCTTCTGGTATTAGAATATTAGTATCACTACAAAGTTGTATATGAAAAATATGGTAACAGGGCAGGAGATAGTGATTGAAGAATTTACAATCACACTCCGCAACCAAGAGGTTTGGCGCATCTTTTCCTTCTTGTAATCATTTCAAGATTGCATGTATCTCTTCTATGATGAGCTTCTGGATTGAAAAGAAGAATTTGTGGATCTTGGCAAGAACTGCTAGATCTACATTAGCAATAGATATTATTTTTGTGTGAAAATTAATGATGACTTCTTTTGCCATTATTTTCTTCTTTTCATCAAGTTCCAAGATCATATGGCATGTATCTAAAAATAATAAAGAAGCAAAAATAAATCAAAATAAAAAAAATGATAAATAGGAAGAGGTGAGTAAAGATCGAAGAAATAAAAAAGAAGCAAAGAAGAAAAACAATAAAGAGAGAGGGGAAATGAAAGAGGAGAATTGAAGAAAAAAAAAGGAAAATAAAAAGAATGAATGGTAAGAAGGGGGGGGGGAGGAAATGAAAGAGGAGAATTGAAGAAAAAAAAAGGAAAATGAAAAGAATGAATGGTAAGAAGGGGGGGAAAAATGAAAGAGGAGAATTGAAGAAAAAAAAAGGAAAATGAAAAGAATGAATGGTAAGAAGGAGGAGGAAGGAAAATGAAAGAGGAGAATCAAAGAAAAAAAAAGAAAAATGATAAGGAGAAAAAAGGATAAATAGTAAGAAGGGAGGGGAAGAAATGAAAGAGGAGAATCAAAGAAAAAAAAGGAAAATGATAAGGAGGAAAAAGAATGAACAGTAAGAAGAGGGAAAAAAATAAAAAATGAATGATAAGAAGGGATGAACATAAAGAATGAATGATAAGAAGAGGAGAAAATAAAGAATGAATGATGAAAAGGGAGGGAGGAATAAAGAATGAATGATGAAAATAAAGAACAAATGATGAGAAGAGGAGAAAATAAAGAATGAATAATGATAATAAAGAACAAATGATGAGCAGGGGAGAAAATAAAGAACAAATGATGAGAAGGGGTGAAAATAAAGAATGAATAATAGAAAGGGAAAATAAAGAACAAATAATGAGAAGAAAAATAAAAAAAAAACAGAAAAAAAAGAAACAAAAAATTAACCTACCAATAATACCATGTATAATAGAAGTTTTTGTTTTGAGTTTGCTATGGTAGAACTTAAGAAGATTTGTCGAAGTTACTTGAAGGAGAAAAGGTGAATACTGCCGCACTCAGAGTGTCTATTTTTTCGAATTCTTCAAGTAATTTCAGGAAATATACTTGGCATTGACTTGTAAAGAACATGTAGTTATCATGTTCTGAACAAGTGCTTCACAATCAATCTGAGTTTTTTTGTACATCACTTGGATCATTTTATTGAGAGTTGGTTCATGATAGATATTTTTGATCCAGCTTCAAATAATATGAACAGTATATAGAAGAATATCATATTTTTGCTTTCTTACACAGAGACTAGAAAAGGTGATCATAATTCCATTAGCTTTCATGCTACTCTGATCAAGTAATATATATCTTGGTCTCTATCAGAAAGTGAATTTTCAGATTATTTTCAATTCTACCGCAACTATGACACTATTCTCATTACTAGCAAAAAAATGTGCACTCACACACCAATAATCACAATCATCCTGAACATAAATTATGAACAAGCGCTAATCATGCTTGTTGGTATTATGAGTAGAATCGATCAATGATAACTATCCATAGCGCATTAGATTCTCTAATTGTACAGAACTTGTGAAATATAGTTCTTGATATAATATTTAAATAAAAAAGAACTCAATACAATTTTTTTTTGAATAAAAACTTATATACATCCTGAATATCAGCATTTAAATTGACATTTTCAATGAGATGCAAGATCATTAGATTTATAAGTTTCAATTTAATGTTTGCAACTTTCTGAGTTCTAAGATATTCTACATCAGAGTTTTTATGTGATTCAAAAAGTTGTTTTCGGACTATACTAGTGATTACGGGAGACTTATACTCCTTTACAGCTTCATTAGCTACTGTATCTTTAATAAATCTTGACCATTTTCATATGTCACTTTCTTCGATTAAATGAGAATAAGCAGGGAAATCTTTATAATTTTTGATTTGGATCTTGTCTGCAAACCAAGTGATTTTAATCCTAGCCTCACACTTGATTGGAGAATACTTCTAAGTTGTTTGAAATTTATTAAGAAGGATACTAACTTTGCGTCTACTCAATTGTTAGGATTTTGAGAGTCTGCATATATACATTTTCCACTTGCTTCCATTTGATAATTTATTTTCATTAAATCTAGTCTATATATTGTTGATGAATACCCATTCCTTATTAAATTCTTTGAGAGGAAGTTCAAATACTTTATTGATATTAAAAAAATGCTCATGAAAGTTTGACATAAAGTAACAAGAGCCAAAAAATAATTATATAATTCTGGTTAGAAAACATAAAAATTATAAATTAAGTTAGAAAGCATCATTTTGGCAGGTCAGGATGCCCGCACCTGGTTATAACATATTAGACATAATTAATATTTTTAAAAATGCTCAAGAAACTCGTAAATTATATTGTTCCAAGAAGTATAAAAAAATGAAAATAATATTAGAGGAAAGAACAAAAAGAAATGACGTTATGGAGAAAGGCAAATTTCATTTAGCAAGAATTTTTTTTACTTACAAGTTTTTTTTTTTATTATCATTATGTGAATAGTGATATTTTTTTTTTCAAATCATGTGCCGCCGATCAAACGTGGCGTGTTGTGGCTAAACCGGCTAAATGGCTTGCCTTGCTTTAACGCTCCCCCAAAAATAGTAATATTTAAATTCTGATAGATGAAAAAAAATTTGTTTTCAAATTTTTCCGGGTCCCTGACCCCTATATTAGGATTCGAAAAGTTATTTTGCTGATCATCATGTTTCGTGATGGAAATTTCTTGGCATTTTTCTTTTTCGCTTAGAACTCACAACGATTGGATTTTCACCTATGATACGTCCCTTCTGAATCATTTTGAGAAGCCGTCCATAATCCAACCGAAGCTGATTAAAGCATAAAGATTTCTTTTGCAATCAATAACGCCGATGCACTCCATTTCGGCGACAGCGAACTTTCCCTCGATATAAGATTAGAGTCGTCGACAATAACATATAATGTATCCGAGGTCCAGTCAAAACCTTTACTAAGAAAAGAGTTGTAGGTTTACATTATGAAGCAACTACTATCGTTTTGACTAAACTTATACGACTCACCGGTGGCAACGGGAGCTTCAAACGATAAGGTGAATGTGTTTTGGAGGGTGTTAGTGTGTGCGAATTCATAATGAAGCTACTTAGAACGAAATCTAAAGAACCAATGCCATGGTCACATAGAATAAACCAGATATAATTCGTGTTAAGAAAAGGCATTTACGAGATAACGACCAGTTAAAGGCAACAGACTATATCGATGATTACTGGACTGCCACCCCCAAAAAGAAGGCACATCCATGTAATCGTTGAGGTCCCTACTGGTAATTAATTATCCTATCTTTTCTTGCTTACTGCTCACGCCACACATTAAATTCCCTCACTGTCGTTGTATTTTGGTATACTGTTTGCGATGTTGACTAACTTGTGCTTTTTTTTCTTTCCTACTTCTTATCGTCTCAAAACAACATTTTAGTTGGGCAAATCTATTGCAATTAATGAATTAGCATCTGGATAAAATATAAAATGAAACGTGACTTGTTAGTGGTTCGCAATTATTACTTGTGTTACATAACCTTCAGAACCCACCGAAACTCAGGTTATCAGTAATCAAAAATCACGTGTGAAAAATTCATTTCTTTATTAACAAAAAATAAACTAAAGAACCGAAAAAAACTATATTACACATTAATTGATTCTCTGCCTTTTCTCTGCCATATTTAGCTTTCCCCATTGCTCCGCCTCCTTGAGTAGCCAGACGATTCGGCCTAAGATTCTACCTGCACCCTTATCCAGAGTCTCCGATTCCTCCGTCCAATCCAAAACAGCTGGCGTTTCCGAATGCGCGCTAATTTTTGGTTTATCGCCATCCATAATAAATTCGACAAAATACCATGCTCGGCCATCAGTAACGATTCCGTATGCCTTATCAGCAAAATCACTCTCGATCTCCTCATGCTTGCGTTTCCAGATAGTTTCGAGAGATGAGTGAAGTTGGATAACATTCTGAAAAATTATCAAAATTAGTAAACATAGGTACACTATATCTGTATGCAAAAATTACGATTTTATTCTACCTGGGCCATACCTTGGTCAAAATCTTCTTTTTTTACTTCGACAACACCGATTATTACTCCAAGGAGTTTCAAGCAGAAATCGAGCGGACCTCGGCCATATTTTCCTTCAATATATAGTTGCGGATACATTTTTACTAATCCCTCGAATAGTGACGTCGCAACCACAAGAAATGGGGGAGACGTATTCGCTCCGAGTGGCTTCTGTTTTGCCGTGAATCGCTTTATAACGAAGTCTCAAATCTTTGCAAAGATGGGGCATCAAATCCTTGGCTTTTTCTGAATCGAGTTTGTCGATACCAATCGAAAATGGGGAATTCATCAATACCTGGTGCGAGGCCAAGAAGTTCGCATACCTTACCGAGTTTCCAATCTGAAAAGGGTTTTTACACCGCGTCAATCTGGACTTTGAGAGTTAAGGATCCCTGCAATGCGCAGGATTTGAGATATTGCCTAAATGTTGCGTCGTCCTCCAAACCTAACTTTTCACAATTATTCTCCTCAGCTTTACCAAAACGTAGTGTCAAATCTTCAGGCTTCGTATCCTGCGGAAATGGGAGAACTTTGAGAATTGCCAGCTTCATAGTATCCAATGTTACTGAACCGATATCGGCCGGCCAGGAGAAATTCTTGCGTTGTTTCCCATACGAATCTTTAATCGTGAAAACTCTGTGTTTGTTCTCGAGTGATGCTAACCGATCCAAAAGTTCCTGCTCACGGCTCGAACTGGCAATTTGCACCGGTGGCTCGACTATGACGTGAATACATTCTTCGGCAGGTGGGGAGGGGAAGTATTTCGAAATCTTTTTCGTTGCTAGAAGTTCGTCATGCAATGTGGGGTTCGCTAACTCGGAATCGTGATCGTCAGGAATTTCCACCTTCCATAATTTGATGTCTTTGGCTTTGACACCGTCTGAAACATCTATCTCCTCTCTTATAACTTTTTTGAGATAACCAACGAGCTGGTTCCTATCAATATCGACAGGAAAAGCATTCGCGGGTAAGTTTCCTTTAACCAAACAGTCCAAAGTAATAGACATTTCGAGTTATATATGATTTTTTTGGCGGATTTTTATTGGTAGATTGCGGAATGGTACACAATGTCATGTATCACATGCAGAAATTTTTCTAGGTGATCGTTGATTGGTTGATTGTTGTGTATATATATGCAACTTACCGATTGTCGACATTCCCACGTTTTTTTCGCGAAAAGTGTCTTGAGTAGGACATCGGCTCTAGGAATAAAATCCTAACGGCTCGTCGAGTAGTGTTGCTTTGATTTCTCCGCTTATTAGTTAATACACCGTAAACTTAGTAATTATGTCATCCAACAATAAGGGAAGAGAAGAAACTGCCACATTGGATGTATCAGCTACGAAAAGGAAATTATCACGACGCCTCCGATATAATAAAAATAAGAAACTCAAGTGGGAACAAGAGCATGCTGAGGTATCTTACAAATCAGAAGATGTACTATCGTTCACTGGCCCTCTTGTCGATTCTGATATTATCTTCAATCTGCTAAGGGTATAATATTTTTTTATCTTCGAATTGGTTACCTTTGTACGAAATTCTAGTATAGTTTTGTTAGGTTGCATTATGTTAATAAGAGGGCTGCGTAGCTATTTGTCGCAAGTTTATTTCGGGGAGTTGTCTGATCGAACATGCACACAATTTCCTTCCAATTCGGTTGGTTGCTTAGCACTTTGGTTACGCAACTCGTTCATTCCACAAATGTGTCTTATCAGGAAAAAAAATCTCTGTAGTAAGTTAGTTAATACAATATTTTAATGATGAATAGCACCGAACTCAACATACAACCCGTAACCTATCTTACTATGATAAAGCTTATTATTTGAATAAAGAGTGAATAAATGTTCCTCTCTCTTTCTCTGATCATATATCCTCCAAAGAAAATAAACCTCGACAGAATATCTCAGCACAAGATCTATTGATTGAAACGTTAATTGAGAAATTAAGGTCTGACTCCGATAGTAGTTCTCTCAAATAAACTGAAATCCCTGAAGATTTTTTTTCACTAGTCGACACTGACATCATTAATGAAGTAGAAAAGAACAGTAACTTACCTATCACAGATTCTAATAAACGCTTGTAGGTTGCCTTCGGTCAGTGGTTAGGATTAAAACAATTTGATGGACCAATAAAAAGAAAATATGTTTGGCATCATCTTAGATTGAAGTGGAGTAAGCTCAGACATTCGAGATAACAAAGATTTTCATGCCATCTCTAATACTGCTGTCACGCAATACACAGAAAGAAAAAGCCTGATTGATCATGTCTATACGTAATAATTTTCACTCTCTTGACGGATTAGTGCAAATTATCTTATTGAGAAGATAATCAGCCATCTTAAATCTTTTGAAGTTAAAAAGTGAATAATTACTGTGAACACAGTCACTATTACCATTTTAAAATATTTGCATACACACAAACTTAAAATGGTAACAGTCTTTTTGGTGTCCTCTCTGTGGATGGCAAATTGAAATTTAAAAATAATATCATACAAATTAATTCAAACTGGATTCAATTAAATCAACAAACATCAAAATAGAGAGACAGTTTCAAAGATTAGTCAACACATTTAATTCATCTCATCTAATCAGACTTCAAGCAAAAGAATTATATTATTTAGTTAATAATCTGTTTGTAACAAATATAGTCAAAGAAGGAATCTCAACAAATAAGTATTAATTATAATTGTGATTACAGAAATACTCAACTCATAATTCAATTCAAATAGCTAGTTTCATTCATAATTTATACAAGAAAATTAGTATATTTAATTAATAAAGATCACATTATATTTAACAATCAAGAATTGATATTTTAATTAATATTTCAGTTAGGATTTTCATATCAGTTTCATCATCATTTACTTCAGTTTCAACTTCTAACACTTTCTTTACTAATTTGTATAAAAGAAATATAACTCTAGTTCAATCAAGAAATATAAGAAAAGAAAAGTCAGAAGAGGAAGAAGAAGAAATTCAAAATTTTATAATTTCAAATTTATCTTAATTATTATTCTAAAGAGATCAAAAAGATATGATAGATAATACTATACAATAATTAGTTCAAGTTCTAGATTCATTAATACAAGTAATAATAACTTAACAGAATAGATAAGTTAAGTTATTAATAATATCTCTTTTTATTTATAATAGAGAAGTACATAAAGATTCAATTAGCTAATTGAAGAATTTGAGTAATTAGCTAATGTCAAAAATATTATTGATACAAGAAAAGTTAAGATAGTATTTACTTACTTGAGAGAAGTCATAATCACTTAATTTTAACAAAATAAAATAGTAAATAATGATTGATTAATAAGCTGAAATATTAATAAGAAAAATAATTCATTTTATAATTCTTTTACTAATTAATTTAGAATAAATACTCAAGTTTTAGCTTGATAATAATAGTTAAGATTCAGAATACAAGAAGTAAATAAGAATGTAATTTTATATAAAGAAGATATTTGTATGTTACTTAGAAAAATTAATTTTATATGTACATATTTAAATACTTATTATATTGTTATAATATAGATTTTTATATATATTTTATTAATATTAGTTATTTTATACTCGCATTTTTATTGGACAAT